ATTTGCCTGCATACTTTTTGTATTTGTACCTGAGGGACACATGTAGCTTCAAGAAGAACATTCTTAAAATTGAATAAGGGAAGTATCTGAATACAGGAAGGGGATTCCTTGAGAATCTCTTCTGTGTCAAGGAACGAAGGCTAGGATGAAGGGAGTTGGGAGGATGAGGGCCATGAGTGCACATGGGGAGAGTAGAAGGGCAGGACAGCAGGGAAAGAGCACATGTGTGCAGGTGCTTATATGTGTGTAAGGTTATGTGAACACGGGAATGGCCTAGATCAGTATAATACTAGTGGCCCGGTGCACAAAATTCATGCACAGGGAGGTGTCCCTCAGCCCAGCATGCACCCTCTCCAATCTGGGATCCCTCTTACAATCCAGAACCACTGGCACCTAAGCGCTCACCTGCCTGCCTGCCTGATGCCTCTAACTGCTCTCCTGCTTGCCTGATGGCCCTAACTGCTCTTCCCTCCTTCTCTGATTCCCCTAACTGCCTATCTGCTCTCCCCTCCAGGCCTAAACCTCCTAACTGTCCATCTGCTGTCCCTTCCTCTTAGCACCTTCAGATCCCAGTGCAGGAGTGCTGAGAGCTCTCTGCCGAGGCCCACCCCTGTCTTGATACCCCCCTCCTCCCCCCTGGCCCAGGCGGTGCGATGGGCCTGCACACACCTCCACCAGGGGGCTGCCCCCATCCTAATGACCCCCTCCAGGCTGGGCAGCACGGTGGGCCTGCGTGCACCTCCGCAAGCAGCTTCATGTCCTGATGGTGCAAGTTCCTGCCCTGTCCCCACCCACCAGCTCCTGTGCACATGCAGCCTGTTGAACGGTCATGACTGGGACACCGTTAGGACCAATTATTTGATCCTTCTTCCCCTCTCTTGGGAGAAATTGAATTTTAATTTACTTTTCCCATTTTATGTGAGTTTTCTCTACTTTTTTGAGTTCCGACAAGAAATTTATATGGAAAGTACATGCTTATGTATAGATACAAAAGAAATGAAAAGAGAGCTTCATCAGCTGAGCACTTAAGGATGCCCATGATAGGTTGTCAAGTGAAAAATTAAGTAGGGAGGTAGCTGCAAGTTATTGGTAATTTTCCATCCTTTATGTTTCTTGTTCATTATATATTTTTTTGTTTTATAACATATCCTCCTATCTAATAAAAGAGAAACATGGTAATTAGCCGTACGTCTGCTACCCTTCCCATTGGCTAATCAGGGGGATATGCAAATTAATTGCCAGCTAAGATGGCGGCCGGCAGCCAGGCAGCTTGAAGCAAACATGAGGCTTGCTTGCTTCAGTGACAGGGGACTCCAACGTTCCCTGCCTGCCGCTGCTGGCCTCTGAGCTTGCAGTTTGAAACATTGTTACAAATATAGAAGCTAAACAAAACCCCAGAAACCTGCTTTCAGCCAGCCAGGATCTCAGAGCTGGATTTGAAATAGTGTTTCGATTATAGAACCCAAACAAACCAGATACCTGCTTTCAGCAGCAGAGGCCTCAGAGCTGGAGCCAAGTCTCAGAGTTAAGCTGGCCCAGAATAAAAAAAAAAAAAAGGACAGGTTGGGAGCTTCAGTCACCTGCCAGCCTGAAAACAGCCCTCAGCCCCTCACCCAGACTGGCCAGGCACCCCAGTGGGGACCCCCACCCTGAAGGGTGTGTGACCAGCTGCAAACAGCCATCAGCCCGTCATCCAGGCTGGCCAGGCACCCCAGTGGGGACCCCACCCTGATCCAGGACACCCTTCAGGGCAAATCAGCCAGCCCCCACCCGTGCACCAGGCCTCTATCCTACATGGTAAAAGGGTAATATGCCTCCCAGCACCGGGATCAGCGGAGCCGCGAGGCCTTCCGGTACCGGGATCAGCGTGACAGGGGGCAGCGCCCAAAACCCCTGATCGCCCTGCAGCTCTGTGTGTGACAGGGGGCAGGGCCACAACCTCCCTATCCGCCCTGCTCTGTTCGTGACAGGGGAAGGCGCCCCAACCCCCTGATCAGCCCTGTTCTGTGCCTGATAGCAGGGAGCTCCCCAACCCCCTGATCGCCCTGTGGCTCTGTGTGTGACAGGGTGCGGTGCCTCAACCCCCTGATCGGCCCTGCTCTGTGTGTGACAGGGTTCGGCACCCCAACCCCCTGATCGGCCCTGCTCTGTGGGTGATAGAGGGCAACGCCCCAACCGCCTCCCACAGGCCCTGCTCTGTGTGTGACGGGGTAGAGCCATAACCTCCCCATCGGCCCTGCCCTGAGTGTGACAGGGTCCGGCGCCCCAACCCCCTGATCCGCCCTGCTCTGTGTGTGACAGGGGGCGGTGCCCCAACTCCCCTATCGGCACTACTCTGTGAGTGACGGGGGGAGCTCCTCAACCCCCTGATGGGCCCTGCTCTGTGCATGACAGGAGGGAGCTCCCCAACCCCCTGATCGACCCTGCTCTGTGCATGACAGGGGGGAGCTCCCCAACCCCCCTGATGAGCCCTGCTCTCTGCGTGACAGGGGGAAGCTCCCCAACCCCCTGATCGACCCTGCTCTGTGCGTGACAGGGTATGGAGCCCCAACCCCCCCTGATGGGCCCTGCTCTGTGAGTGACAGGGGGCAGCGCCCCAACCCCCTCATTGGCCCTGCTCTGTGCGTGACAGGGGGTGGCGCCACAACCTCCTAATCGACCCTGCCTTGAGTGTGACAGGGGGCGGTGCCCCAACCCCCCAATCAGCCCTACCCTGAGAGTGACTGAGGGTGGCATCGTAACCTCCTGATCCGCCCTGCTCTGTGCATGACAGGGGGCAGCACCCCAACCCCCCAATCGGCCCTGCTCTGAGCCCGACCAGGGGCTGCACCTAGGGATTGGGCCCGCCCTCTGCCACCTGGGAGCAGGCCTAAGCCAGCAGGTCGTTATCTCCCGAGGGGTCCCAGACTGGGAGAGGGCACAGGCCGGGCTGAGGGACTCCCCTCCCCCCCCGAGTGCACAAATTTTGTGCACCGGGCCTCTAGTATATATTATAAAATAAATATACATATATGTTTATATAGATATATGATATATGTACATATTCTTTTAAATATATAAAACTGCATATTAAACAATGACAAGTGGGTTGCCACGTAACCTATTTTAGTAGAAACATCACAAGAGCTTCCCAGGTGTTGTGTGTGCATGTGTGTGTGCATGTCTGTGCACGCTCACGAGCTCACATATGTGTGTATGAATGAGGAGGAAGGTATGGAAGACTGTTTACTTTTAATCCCCTTTTGGGGAATTAGGGACAAGGCAGAACCTTGTTACTTTTAACTCTCTCACCCAGGGCCGAATAAAATGCATTAATAGTGTGATAAACAATGTTTACCGATGATCTGTGTATTTACTTTGATAGAAATTTAAATACTGTGTTGGATTTTAAGCTCTGAGGACAGAAAGAACATTGATCTTTATAACTCATTCAGTCATTTGTTCATTCATATTAATTGCCTGATATATATGCTGAGTGCAAACATATTTTCTTCAGTGTCTTCTACAGATAAAGTTTTTTAAACAAATAAAAATAAAATATATTATGAAAGTTCATTGTAGAAGTACCTAATCTATTCTTGTGGATCGGGAAGGCTTCCTAGAAGAAGTGGTATTTATACTGCAAACTGAAGAATACAAATGAGTTACTTGGGTGAGGTTGGGGAACATTCCACATCCCATTTACATGGGAGAGTATGTGCAAAGGCCCTGAAGCAAGGAGGAAGGAACGTGGCTTGAAGAATGAGAACAGTGTGGCTGTCGCCTAGAGAATAAGAGGGCGATGAGTGGGGAGGAGGCCAGAAAGGGGTGTAAGGACTGGATCATGCAGACCTTGCAAGTTGGAATAGAATCCTCTAACTTTTTATTTCAAAAATGTTCAAACATATACAAAAGTTGTGGGTATAGTAGAGTGGATCACCTAGATTTTCAAATTGCCATTTTGCTATAGTTGCATGTGCTCTCTCTCTTACACACAAATGTGCACACATATTTTTCTCTTTGCTGAACCATTTGAGGTAAGTTAAGGACAGCATGCCATGTTAAGAAGTATATCGTGTCTAAAAACATGTATCTTCCAAAACCAAAGATTATCTCTGATATGATCACAATACTGTTATATAGCCAAGAAAGCTAATACTGATCAAACACCTTTACCTAATATACAGTCCATGTTTAAATTTCTAATTGTCTCAATACTTTGCTAACTTTTTTAAAAAACCCAAGGCCCAGTCAAGGATCATGCACTGTGTTTAGATAACTACTGGCATTTTGGGCCAAGGTTAGGCCAGTTATTTTATAAAATGTCCATCAACTTAAATTTGATTATTTCCTCCTGATGAAATTCAGGTTGAACATTTATAGCAAGAATACTACTGGGTGATATGAAGCACTGAGAACTACCTAGCCTCGGGAACACTGATAGTTTCCATTATTGATGATGATAAATTTGATCATTTAATTAGGGAGATGTCCACCATTTGTCTCAATTGTAAAGATAAAATTTTTCTTTTGTAAGAAATAAAGTAATCTGGAGGATGGTACCTTGAGATTCTGTAAATATTCTGTTCCCCAACAATCTGTCACCCAGGAGCACTGCTGTGTCCCTCGCCCAAGATAATGATGACTCTGGTGGTTGAAAAATGGTGATTTCCTAACTGCATAGTTTCCCTGTATTAGTTGGTAGTCTTCTGTGAAGAAGAGCCTTTTTTTCTCCTCCACCCTTTTAATTCATTATCAGTAGGGACTTGTGGATTTTTAAAATCTGAATTTAAGATTTAATAGGTGTTCACCATCCATTTCTAACATTAATTATTCTGAAGTTTCAATTTCTCCCTACTTGGTCAGCAGGAGCCCTTCTCTGAAAGGTTTTTTAGAAATCTATGGGTTGAATGAATGAAATAATACTATGAAAGTGATGAGTAAATCTGTGCTCACCATGCCTTTTTCTCTTGAGAATCTCTGTGTCAATTTAACAAGGTTTTATTTTTATTTCTCTCTAGGTCTCATGGATTAATTGGCTCTTGTTCAGCAAGCCCCTAACAGATAAGTCGTCCAGCCACATATCAAGACAAGGTTCGGTTTTAAAATTGCTCTGAAAATGATTAAAAGCCGTGTCTCGATGTAACATTGTCAGGGGGCGACGAGCAGCTTCAGAATTTCCTCTTAACCCCGCAGCAGCTTGAGGAAGCCCCTCTCCGTCCAGGCTCCGTCCAGGAGGGCTGCATGGCGAGCAGCCCCCACTGAAGGTGGAAGATGAGTGTCCCATTGGCTCCCAAGAAATCATATTACACTCAATTGCAGGACAACAGAAAGGGGGTGAAAAATAATAATGAGAGTCTCCTAAGTCTGGGTGATACTAATGCCAATCAGATCCTGGTGGAGGGCGGTCCCTCTCGCGATGAGTCTCAGACATGTGACCTGACAGATGAAATTGGAAATGCAAATTCACATGAGCCAGAAAACAGAAGCCATTTCCATAACGAATTTCACTCACTTCAGGGCTTTGGGAAGGGACTACAGGCTGGCCCCAGCAGCCTGAAGGATTTAAAATTGTCTGCAGCTGTTCGTAGGGAAATAAATGAAGAGCACGCAATTCAGAGAGGCACAGCTCTCCTGCAGCCCGCGTGGAGCGGACAGGGACCAAGTCTGGCAGGCTGGAGGTCTGTTACGGGTGAGGCCAGTCCAGACGTTTTGACTCCAAAAGGCACCGAAACTCCCCGACATGCTCCCAAGGATAAACTGGCAAAGACGCTGGACGACGCGGCACTGAGAAGGCACGCTTTGGATAGGGCGAGCAGCCCTGCTGCTGCAGGGGACCAGTTCACGAAGGAGTGTGCCGGGAGCCTGACTCAGCCACCTCCACAGCCTGTCCCACTGGACCCCCCTGATGCCCCGGATGGCATGCCCAAGGGTGGTGAGGGGCCACAGAAGACAGTGACATCCCACTCCCCAGGGACAGCTTGTCCTCCAGCTGACATCACCTCAGAGGGAAAGAGTGTGTGTCATCCTAAACCATCTACCTCAGAAGCCAAGGAGACCACCTGCTTAGAGCCCCCGATGGGAGGAGCACATGTGCCAGAAGTTAGCAACGAGAGCACACCACGCTCTGCCCAGTCAGGGTGTGCTCTGACTTCAGCACCCAAGGACGCCCTGAGTGAGCCAGAAGCACAATTAGATCAGGAAAAGGGAGGGCCCAAGCCAGAGCTGAAATCTGTCCAACCCTGGGCCCTGCAGGAGTTCATGTCAGCCCGGGCCGAGTGTCTGGGATGTCCCAAGGAAGACAGCGTCTTACTCCAAGAGAGAAATTTGCCTGGCGGGGGAGCACAGCAAGAAGCCCCCACCAGGGCGGTCAGCAGCCTGCCCCAGCCCCAGAGCAGTGTCCACACGCCTGGAGGGCCAAGAGGCAGGAGCGTGCAGGACCAGAGCGCCGTCCACCTGGGTGAGCAAGGTTCTCTCCAGACCTTCCCCAAACCTGGCCTGGCTTCCTTGCGAGCTGCTGATAATCAGCTCCCCGGCAAAATTTCACCAGTTGCAGCTGGGAAGCTGCATGAAAGTTCATCCAGCAGCATGTCACCAGGTGATGGTCATGCAGCTTTTATTCCTCGTGCCCCAGCTGACAGCAGACCCTCAGCTGCCAGCGAGGAGAAAAGGGTGCTGAGCAGTGGGAGCAGGGCCAGTGCTATGGATTTTACTTCAGATCCTTCTGTTGGAGAGAGTAAAACTGGGGTCCCTGAGCCCCTTGACCCTCAGAGCAGCAGCTCAGAAGCCGGGGAAAGCAAAGAGGTCACTACATCTGTTGCTGAAAATAAGAACCTTCTAGAAAATGCAGTTAAGACTGAAAGTTCCACAGCAAGAACTGATTCTCCTCTCAGTGTCCCAACCCCTCTCCACCCAGAGACAACTGTCAGTGTGAGCCACCAGCCCAGCGCCAGTCTTCAGGACTTGAGTATGTATACAGGGTCACCCTCAGGGCCACTCTCGGCTGCCCCACCTCCCACTGACAGCTTGCAGTTGTTGAACACCTCCCCCAAAGTGCCTGACAAGAACACCTGCCCCAGTGGGATCCCCAAGCCAATCTCCACACATTCTGAGGGTACACCTTCCTCGCAGGAGGCACTGGAGAGCCACCAGGTTGAAAGAACAGCAGAAAGGACAGAACCCAAGCCCATCATTTTGCCCAAGCCCAAGCACGTGAGGCCCAAGATCATCACCTACATCAGGAGGAGTCCGCAGGCTCTCGGACAGGTGGACACCTCGCTGGTCCCAGTGGGCCTTCCTTATGCTCCGCCCACATGTAACACGGCTCTTCCCAAAGAGGAGAAGGTGGCAGGCAGAGACCTGAAGCCGGCTGCCAGCCTCTACGAGAAGTTCAAGCCAGACTTGCAGAAGCCGAGGGTCTTCAGTCCTGGGTTGATGGTATCTGGGATCAAACCCCCAGGACACCATTTCAGTCAGATTAGTGAAAAGTTTTTGCAGGAGGTAAGAGAATATCATTGTGATATGATTTATAAGTTGAACATCTAAACTTTGTCACATATTTTCAATTGTGAAAACAGAATATTCTCCCTTTGGAAAGTCTCCCTTGGATATACCTGTACAGAAATAATGCTTTTAATAGAGGAGGTTGTAGACGAATGGACATTTTTGACTGGAGAAGGTTGATGATCGTAATGAGATGGATCTACCACCTGAGGAGACTCACGTAAATTCCACGCAATAGGATACACATGAAGTTAGATGAGCATGCGTTTAAATTGTCTTCTGTGTTTAAATAAGTGAGCCTAATTCATCTATAAGCCAGGTCAATAGAACAAAAGTCAGAAATAAATGCATTGTTCAAATTGGTCAGACTTCATCCTCTGAGGGGGATATCTCATATTCACACAAGTGAAGAACACAGTGAGTAGAAAATAGGCATGGGTCAAAATAATCATTACCTAACATTTAGTTGAGCACCTGCTATGCCATGTAATATATTTAACCTTTGTCAATCTTCAGCAGTCCTTACTGTAACTCTCTGGAGATTGGGATTGCTGGTTTTATCATTATATAGATGAGGACACAGATGTGGAGAGGTATGCATAACTCACCTAAGGCCACAGAACAATGGCAGCACTGAGATGCTCTCCTAGGCCCTCACCCTTTCCTCTGGGTGCTGCCCCTTTAAGTAACTGGGTGCTAGGTGAGTCATCCTCCCAGAGCTCATGAAGACGATTGGCCTCCAGAAGCAATGTCCTGGCAGGCAGAGTGATCAATTAAAAGGAAAGCTGGCTCAGATCATTCCTCTCCCTAACACCCTTCAGGTCTGCCCAGGCCACTCAGACCACAGGCTGGAGTCTGTAGGTGGCTCATTACCTCCTGACTGCCTCTCCTTCCTCCAGACTTCCTCTCTCCCTCTGCTGCCCCAGGCCTTTTGCATTGCCCTCTACTTGGAATGTTCCTCCCAGATACCTGAATGACTATCTCCTTCACTTTCTTTAGGCCCCTTCAAATGTCATTTCATTGGGAAGGCTTCCTTTCCCCAGACACCTTTCTATAGGTTCTTTCTTATTAGAACTTATCTCTCCTATATACCTTTTTTGCTTTTGCTGCATTAACTAGAATGTGAAGTCCGTGAGAGAAGAGACTTTCTCTGTCTTTTGTTCCCCACAGTGACCCCAGAGTTCAGTGCTTGGCATAAACACATGCTCACAAATGTTGAGTGATAACTGATTTATGAATTCACATATGATGGATACAAACAGAAGTTAACCAAAGCTCCCTAGAGATAGAATAATCCAGTCCCAGGTTGGACTCTAGCTTGATTGATTGTATCAACAGTTTTACAGACTTTATTGATCATAGCAGATGTCATCTCTGGCACAAAGTAAGTGGTCAATCCATTCTTAGCAGCACATCTCCACCAAGGCTAGCACTGACCAGGTGCCCCAGAAGCTGGCCATCTGCCGACCATGGTGCCAGCTGTCAGCACTGAATCACGCTGCTGGCTTCCCGTCTTCTGACTCTGCGCCTGGAGAGGCTTCCCCCTCACACATCTAGAGAGAGGATGCTGACCCGAGAGTTTAGGGGGGTCTAGTCTCTATGGTAGGGACTCAGCCCCATGCAGGGCTGCATGGTGTCCTGTTCTAAGTGCAGTGAAAGCATGCCCTGGCCAGAGGAACTTAGAGTCTGACCCTAGGCAGTGCCACCTCACTAACAATGGACAATTTGCCACTCTGGTTTATAGGTCAGGCTCTTAGATTGGTGACTGTGAATCTTTCTTAAATTACCAAACACATATCCCCCTGGCCCTTGGCCTTTGCTCCTATCTCTGTGAAGCTCAGCAAGTCTCAGTCCTCTGGTCAGGCTTGGCGTGGGGAGATCCGACCACTGTGCCCCCAGCTCATGACAGAATATGTTTCTGACAAGTTGCCACAGAAATATTTATTTTTATTTATTTTAATTAAATTTATTGGGTGACATTGGTCAACATGATCATACAGGTTTCAGGTGTGGGTTTATATGTTACAAGATCTGTATTTTGCACTGTGTGCCCACCCCCAAAGTCAAATCCTCTCCTGTCACCATATATTAGGACCCACTTCTTCCTCTACTCCCTTCCCTCATCAAAAATACCTTCACAGAAATATCTAAAATAAACTTTGACCAAATATCTGGGTACAGTGGCCCAGGTTAGTTGACACAATTAGACATCACAAGTCATCTCCCTGGGCTGTCCCAGTGGCTTCTCAGTGAAGCCTCCACATTTACCCATGGCTTTCCAGCCCAGGATCCCATGGAAAACAGCATAGGGCAATCACAAAGAGGGACAATCTGGTAAGAACTGATTTGTTTGTGTGCTTTGATGGATTTTAGGAATTTGAATGAAATCATGAGCATACTTTAGTTTGTTTTCAAAATAATTTCTCTAAAAATACTCAATTGGAGCTTTGTGCAGTGGCAGTATTATAGACAATGAAGTTTATCCCAGGCATGATTATTGCTAATTGGGGAAAATAACTCCACTAGAGAAGCAGGAAAAATAACAGTTTGGGTGGGTCTTTATGTGTTTTTCACTATGCAGTGATCCCTGTTGTGTTCTGTCAATAAAGATGAAAGATACAAGGAGTGTGAAGTTGTTTGTAGATTCCCCTGTTTTATTAAAAACCAGAGGCCCAGTGCACGAAATTCGTGCACAGGTAGGGTTCCTAGGCCTGGCCAGCAATCAGGGCCAATTTGTGGGGTGACCAGCGGGCTGATTGGGGGGCCCCTGCTGGCATCTGTCTTGGCTGGCCTGGGGGCTGCGGGCTGGGGGCAGCTCCTGCATTGAGCATCTGTCCCCTGGTGGTCAGTGTGCGTGATAGCGACTGGTAGTTCCACCAGTCATTCTGCTGTTTGGTCAATTTGCATTTAGGCTTTTATTATATAGGACTAGAGGCCTGATGCACTAAAATTTGTGCAAGAGTAGGCCTTCCTTTCCCCGGCTGCTGGCACCAGCTTCCCTCTGGCACCTGGGACCTGGGCTTCCCTTCTCTGGCCACCTGTAGGCACCCAGGACCCAGGCTGGCTTCCCTCTGGCTGCCCGCAGGCACCCGGGACCCGGGCTGGCTTCTCTCGGGCCCCGAATTCATCAGGAAGGACGTCCGGAATGACATCTGGTCTAATTAGCATATTACCCTTTTATTATTATAGATGCACTGATTAGGTATCTGAGGCATATTTCTCACCTGTGTAAAGAATTTGTTATCTTACCAGTGACAAATTATCCAACAAAATGACAGGCATTGAAGTTACTGAAATCGTGATGACCATTTCCCAGGTGGGTTTTGAGCCCTAAAAACTATGCAGTTTCAAAGAACTGAGTAATTACTGAGCTCAGCATATTGCAATCCTAAAAACTTGACAGATATAGGTTAGAAATGATTATAATTTCCTCATGTAAGCACCTGCTAAAAACAATGTGCAGTGGCATCAAAATTTAGAAACAAAAATAAAAGAACAGAGAAAATATAAGTATAATATAAAAGCTAAAGATCAATAGTAAGAGAATTAAGTGGAGAATAGTAAACATTTTTATCAGAGTGCAAAGGTATAATGTTCTTTTGAAGGAATGTAATTTGCTGTGGCCCCAGTTCAGCCGGTCTACAATAGCAATCATGCATGTTTTACAATGTGATTATGATAAAACTTTAAAGGCCTAATCTTTAGTTTCAATAATGTCAATTTAAGGAGAACTTGTATCTATTTCAGCATTCAAAGAGTATCAATTTAAGGGCTTATCTCTTCCAACAGTTCGGCTCAGAGCTTCATAGACCCTATTAAAAATACTAGTATTGTTAAATGCTTGTGATTCGTGGATATGTATGACATAAAATATATTGTGATTTAGAGCAGAATTAATTAACAGATGTATTTTTCATGCATGGCCTCTGGCACTATTCTTTTTAAACTGAGAGGAAATAGATGATTGTACGGTCTTATTTTTTTCCTTTTTAATATGAAGAAACACTGATGACATGAACAGGCTCTGTGAGTTCAGAATTGCATACATGAAAGGTAGCCATAAGTTGTATTCTAGTCTAAACTGTTAACTGGAAAAAAGTAACAGGAATGTTACATTATTAAATTTAGGAAACAATAGAAAGCTGTTTTGTTTGTCTGCTGGATGCTCACTGATTTTGGCCATGGACAGACACGGTTTTAGGTCAGTGATTCAGCAGCCAACAGACTCTCTCCTAGAACTTCCATTCTGGTGAATCTTTCCCAGGCATTCCTGTCAGCCCGCCCTTAGCAGGGAGGACAAGCAGAGGATGTAAATCAGTCTCTCATTTTCAATGACGTAAATAGATTATGGAGGCCTGAAAACACATTTTTTCCATTAACATTTATATTCTTTCAAATAGCCTTTTCTCCCTCATTAACAGTGCATGTTTTATTTCATAAGTAGCCTAGAAAAGACAACATAAATTGGTAAAGTTCATTTTTTTTATTATAAAACTATGTTACCATAAAAATTGTGCCTTTTCTCCATAGGAATAATGAAACTCATAATTCTATGAACACTTGCAAATTCTTTCCACGCTTCATTAACATTATTTACTTATAGATTGGCTACTTGCACAAATTCTGATGATTTTGTAGCAATCAAATTAAAAAATCTTACCAAATAAGTTCTTTTTTCTCCCAGTGAGATGTAGATTTATAGACTATTAGAACTGGAGGAGACCCAAGAGGTCATCCAGGTGTGTTGTCAACTCAACAATGAAGACACTTGTGCCCCAAGAAGGTAAGTGATCAGGGATGGAGCAACTCAGAGATGCCAGGTGGTTATTGCTGGAGCTGAGTGTCCTGAGCAGGTGCAGTCCTCATCCTGCCATGTGATTTTTTTGATTGAGCTTCTGTTCATTTGCTATAGGTTACAGAACTCCCTGGAAAAGAAGAATTTTGTTCTCCTCCCTATGCACACTACGAAGTTCCTCCCACCTTCTACCGCTCCGCCATGCTCCTTAAGCCCCAGTTGGGATTGGGCGCGATGTCCCGTTTACCTTCTGCAAAGAGCAGGATCCTGATCGCCAGTCAGAGGTCTTCAGCAAGTGCTATCCACCCGCCAGGACCCATGGCAACAGCTGCAACTCTCTACAATTCTGATCCTTCAGGTAACCCATCCAACAATGACTGTTTTCCCTGCTGCACTTTTAAATAGTTATCATATGAAATGTGGTAACTGTCTAAAATACGAATGCCTCACCCTTTTTCTGTTATTCCATCTGACATTTATCAAGACTTATCTATCTTTAACTGTCACCTTCATGGCACCTTTAAAATGATGGCCCTATAACCACTTCTTGTAGTTTCTCCCTCCTATAGTACATCCTGGAGGCCAGGATTCAGAAACACTATCTGGCCTTTTACAGATAATGTTTCTGAATCCTGGCCTCCAGGATTCAGAAACATTATCTGTAAAAGGCCAGATAGTCAATGTTTTAGGCTTTCTGGGCTATGATAGTCTGTGTTGTAACTACTTAGCATGGAAGCAGCCACAGGTAAGACGTGGGTGGATGGTGCGGCTGTGTGCCAATATAGTTTAATATTCAAGAACAGTGGGCTGGGCGCCACCTGCGGGCCACAGTTTGTCAGAGAGCTCTTCCTACAGGCCGGCACCGACCATGTCACTCTGTTTTCACCTGTTCACAAATCTTGAACACAGAACGGCCTGCACCTCTCCTAGCCCTGTCACTCTGCTCTGCAGTGGCTGGCCAGTGTCACCTCCTGCAATATCCTCTGCACTTCTTTATTTTTCCTTTCATTCTTCTTCTTGTAGGTTTAATGTATCACTTTATTATATAAATAATACATATATACTTAAAATTTTTTCAATATAGAAAAATAGAAAGAAGAAAGTAATACTACTTATATTTTAGCACCCAGACAGAATCAATATTATGGGATTTTTTCTTTCAATTTGTTTTCTTTCTATGCATTTTTCTGCTACTATGCATTTTCAGCATAGTAGCTAAAATAACACAAATGTGAGTTTTGTTTTTTTTCCTGTGAATATCATATTGTGGGCATTTTCTATGCCAAAATGTTTCAGAAATATTTCATGGCAGCCTAATAGTGTTTGTTCATTTATTCAACAAATTCTGGTACTTATTTTGTGCCAGCAGCTATCATAGAGGATGGCAGCAGTGAACAAAACAGAGCTCCTGCCTCCATGCAGCTGCTGGTCTAATGGGTGAACGCAGCAGTAAAAACAAGCACAGAAAGAAACACACAGTTATAAGTTGTGATACGGGTCATCAAAGCAAGCAACATGGTGTTTGAGAAATTGCAACCTGAAGAGTCATATGGATGGGACATAGGTGGAAAAGTGGGTTACTTGGGAATAACAGTAGAAATGAGGTAACCATTGTACCACTGGCTCTTGGATTCTGCTTACTCTGAACTATTTTCAATAATGTTGCAATTGGAATCTTTGTGCATACGTATTTGCCTTCTTTCATATTGTTTTCTTAGGATAGGCTATTTTAAGTGTAATTATGGGATAATGCATATCTAAACTTTTTGCAGGCTAATTTTTTAGAAAACTTGTAATAATTATTTTCATACTCATGTTTTTTCAACATGCTTCTTCTTGCCATACCTTTGCCAGTATTAAATATTAGCTTTATTACTACTACAATTATTATTATTACTTTTATTTTATTATTAGTGGAAGGGGACTTTCCTCACCTCTTTGCCATTATATTACTCTGTGAATTGTCATTTACTGAGGTAATCATTGATGGTCTTAATAATTAGTTTTTTGACAAGCACTTCTATAAAAGATGAAATTATTTTTTGATGATTCTCATGATAATGTGATGGACCTACATATTGTTGTCACAGCTGCTACAGGTCAGTTATGTATTCAGTCACTCATTCAACAATTACTGCTGAGGGACTTTGACATGTCAGCACTGTTGTAGGTGGGGAGGGGGAATAAAGCAGACAACAGACAAAAATCCTTGCCTCTGAGGAGCTTAAATTGTAGAATGGGGGAGGGGGCAGACTTTTCTTAGTGAGCAAACAAATTACATGGTGTATTGGGAGAAATAACTAGTACTGAATAAAATGAAGCAGAGATGGGATGGGAATAGGAGGTTTGAGACATGAAGCAGGAGGGTTACAGCTTTAAATAAGGTGGGCAGAAAAGGCCTCCCTGAGAAGGTGGCTCCAGAGGAGGTGCTGAGGGAGCCATGTGGATATCCTGAGGAGTGTTCCAGGCAGAGGGAGGAGCCAGTGCAAATGCCCTGAGGTGGCAAGAAGGCCAGGGAGGCGGGAGCAGTGAGTGGGCAGGAGAATGGTAGGTTCAAGAGCCATGGCAAGGGTCTGACTCTTACTCTGAGTGAGCAGACCAGTGGAGAGTTTGGAACTGGGCAGAGTGATCTGACTTTTGTGTAAACAGGATCTTTCTGGTCCCATGTTGAGAGCACACACTAAGGGGACAAAGGCAGAAGCAGGGGAAACAGCTGATGCAGTGACCTGGCAGTGATGTGAGACGGTGAGAAGGTCAGGCACACTGAATGGACATGAGCTGGGAGAGAAAGAGTAATGAATGGAGACTGCAGGGCTTTGGGCCTGAGCAACTAGGAGGATGGAGCTGCCATTTAGAGAGGCAGGCAGGGGGCAGGAGTAGGTGTACAGGGGAAGGTAGGAGCTAATTTAGGAGACTAGAGTTGGGAGGACAGGATGCAGCTAGAGACACGAAAGTGTTGGTAAACAGCAGATGGACCGTGTTTAAAGCCAGGATGTCCCCTCACTGGTGGCCATTGCTACCCAGCACCGTTTCACCTTCACCTTCATCAGTGAGTTATATATTTGATGTAAAATTGGATTATGTACTTTTTTGAAATAGCATAATATAACAAATGTTAATAGTTTTATCTTATGTACAGAATTTGGAAAAAGTTGATATTGAAATGACCAAAATTAAACTTAGTTGAGATTGATCTTGCAAAAGTCAAATTTCCAAATTAGAACAGGGGTGGGCAACCTTTTTGTGAGTGTGTACCAAAACCAGCAAAATCTCTGACTCAAAATTCTTCTGCGTGCCAACCCTAATTTTTTGAGAACATGTTACACCTATTTGATATCTCTTAAAGTGTACATATGTGAAGAACCTTGAAGAAATAATAAAATTCATTCGAGTGAAAAAACACAGTATATGATGATGAAAAACACATTTATTTTTTAATGTATACATTACACTGATAGTCCGACAGAAAACTTTATGACTCCGTTTGATATTATCAGTGGGACTTTTGCTGCTGCATCACTGATGGCAGAGATTTTACATCAGGTTTATATTTCGTGACCTTCAGAGATATGCACGAGCTACTACTTTCATCTGTCAGGCTACTCCTATTACGAGACTTAACAAAATTCATCACTGAGAACAAAGATTCACAAATGTATGTGGATGAAAACATGGAGAGTAACGCTGTTGCAAAGTGTTTTTAAACAGAAAAAATTTTCTGGAATGGCATTCCAAGTCCTCAATAGTTCGTTTTTAACACTTCTCTCTGGTACTCCTGTCTCTAATTGCTTTTTTTTCAACGTTTTCCAAGTCAACTCTAAGGTCAATAAATTTCTTCTTCCAAATTGAGCTACTCTGAAATTCAATCAACTGCATTTCAAAGTCAGCCATGTCTATCCATGAAAACATTTGTACGTTTAGTTCCTCCAGTTTCATGCTGTCTGGAAACCTCATGAATTTTGCTGTCTCTTCCAGTTCTCTGAATTTCACAAATCTTGAGAATAACTGCTCAATAGTTGACTCGATGATGTTTAAAAACAGCTTTTGAAGGCTTTGACAGTCTGTTCTGTCATCTTTTGGGAGGTCTTTGATGTGCCTCTTGAGGTTTGGGAAATATCTAAATCTCTCACCATCCACATCCCTCTTAAAGACTTCCAGTTTCTTTTCAAAAGCCTTTATGTAACCAAACATCACATCAAGTGTCTTGCCAGTTCCTTGTAATTTAACATTTAAGTCATTCAAATGTTCACAAAAATTGTAAATGTAAGATTATAAGAGAGGGTTTCGTGTGCCAGCAATAGTTATTGGCGTGCCATGTTTGGCACGTGTGCCAGGGGTTGCCCACCCCTGCTTTAGAATATCCTGCCTGCAATGCTCAGGGGTGGCAGGCAGCTCCTTATTTATTTATTTATTTACTTATTTATTTATTTTTCTTTATTGATTAAGGTATTACATATGTGTCCTTATCCACCCATTCCCCCACCCCCCCACTCATGCCCTCACCCCCCTGTTGCCTGTGTCCATTGGTTAGGCTTATATGCATGTATACAAGTCCTTTGGTTGATCTCTTCCCCTTAACCCCACCCTCCCCTACCTTCCCTCTGAGGTTTGACGGTCAGATCCATGCTTCTCTGTCTCTGGATCTGTTTTTGTTCCTCAGTTTATGTTGTTCATTATATTCCACAAATGAGTGAGATCATGTGATATTTATCTTTCTCTGACTGGCTTATTTCGCTTAGCATAATGCTCTCTAGTTCCATCCATGCAGGCAGCTCCTTTGGCTCATATGTGCTCTCACATTCGGGCTGCGGCTGCCACTTCCTCTGTGCAGTTCAGCCCTCACCAGGACAGGGAGGGACGCCCCAGCCCTACTCCTTCAGGACCCCAATCCTTTACCTCGGGCTTCTGGGTATCTTCTCTTAGAGAAAGCTGTGTGTTCACACAGGGAATTATCGGGTCCCAGCACAGCCTGTGACAATGATGAGTGTCACCTGTACAGGACACTGAAGACATGAAATCCTTTCTTAGTGCTGTTGGGGTTGGGGGAGGGACGAGAGGGGTGTGGGACTGGGACTGAGGATGAGAAGTTCTCACTCCAGACAATGCGAAGCTCTGGAGGGTGATGACGACTCAGGTCCGATTGGCTCCTGGGCACCAGAGCCGTGCTGCAGCCCTTTGCTTGGCCTACTCTCTTGGCTTATCCCAGGCAGTGGCCTCTCCCTTGCGGGTCATGCTGGCAGAGTCCCCAAGCTTCCTGGACTTGCGCAGCAGTGCCCTTCACTCATTCTTTCCTTTCTGCAGAAATCCTTCCCTTTTTCTTCATGTTTTCCTCAGAGCAACCCCCTTTCTCCTCACACA